CGGAGTGGCTCCAGGTCGGAATCACTCCATGTGCTCTGCTGTCCCTGGAGGTGTGGGCGCTCCGGCCGCAGCGCTGGAGTCAGGGTGCTGCGGGGCCCGCGGGAAGGGAGCACACGGTTCTCCAGGGCTGGGCTCTGGTTTGGAGCCTCCTCCCTGTTGGGATACGGACTTGGCTGAGAACTTCAGCAAAACTGAATCAGGAGTCTTGGCTCTTCCTGTCTGTAAAGCAGGGATAACCAACAGAAGGGTAGAAACACAAACCGCAGAAGCACCCCGGCAATACCCTGTTTATCCTGTGTTAGGTAAAGAGGATTATCCAGGCAAGCTCCTGGCACGGTAAAAAAATCTGTCCAGTGCTAGGACCCCGCTGGTCGATGTGCTAGGCAAGGTCACTGTCACCGGGGCTGCTGCTCGTAGCTTCCTTTGGCATATTAAACCATCCAGGGATGATTTTAAACAGAATTCACGTTCATGCCCTGCTAAGAAGGAATTGGTGGTCCAGGCTTTGAACTATTTGAAATGTTAACTGATTTTTTTTTTTTAATTAGGTAACTATTTGGCAAACTTGAATCAAGAAAATTGAGTGAAAGATGATAATAAGAAATAATTTCTTATCAGTTTCTTATCCTTTGTCTCGGGATAAGTCATTCAGCACTGTGAGGATAGTCAGGGTCCGTGCTAGCAGTGTTCTGAACTGTCCTCTGGGGAACTGGAGGGTGGTGCACCCGGGAGCAGAGAGGGGAAGGCTCTGATAGCCAGGGAAGGATTATCTGTGTTATTTAATCACAAATTCAAGTGCCTGGACAGTTATAGGAGAAAATTTGTTGCTGCTTTTCCCCTCCTGGTGTCATGGCTTGGGCAGTGGGGGGAGAGTTTCCAAGTGATGTACATGGAGATAACCCCTTCCACACCTCCCACGCTGTTTTTCCAGCATGTTTATTAATCGATGCTCCTCTAGTACCCCCATAAAATCTAATCTTCTCAGGAGATTTGGAATGCTTATATATAATCTGCTGCATTAAGGGCGTCGCTGCATTTATTACTATGGAGATGGCACAGGCAGTTCCATGGTTGCAGTTGAATTATTCATGTGTCTGGCGGATTTGCAGGGTGCAGCCAGGATGGATCCAGGCTGCTGTCATTCCACAGTGCCTGGCCAGGTCAGAGCCCTCGTGAGAGGAGCCCCTGCATCTGAAAAATGAACAAAACGACGCGTCGGCACACGAGTAGCGCTGCCCGGTTCGGCTGTCCGTTGGCAGGCGTGACCATCTGCCAGGTGTGGGAGGAAGGCTGGGCAAAACCATAGCTACTTTAGACTGGGGGGCAGGTTGTTGCTCTTTGTTTGGGTTTCTCTCTCCCCTGCGCAGAAGGCCTGGTTATTACTGTGAGCAGGAATATGGTGTCCTGGCGCAGCTGCCCAAAGCAGCCCGGGGTCAGCGGCTCCAGTGTGTGTGGCTGCAGTGAGCTCCCTGAAAACCTCATCCCACTTGTCTAACTTTCCTCACAGGCCTCTGTGCTGGAATTTTTCATGAAAAATCAAGCCTTGCAGAATTTTTTTATTTACCTGGATTAAACTGTTTTGATAGGGAGGGACATGGAGGAATTATCTTCCCTGCAGGGTGAAACGTTTGCTGTGCAAAAAGATCAGCTGTGGTGTAGTGGTTGGCACTGGGGAAGGGAAAGAAGGATGTTACAGGTGCTTTTCCGTTTATCTGGAGAGAAGCTAAATCTTTCTCAAACACAGAGTACATTTTAAAACTAAGATTTGTGTGGGAAAAGTAAGCGTTTTATCAAATGTAGAGTTGGTGATGTGCTGTGACAGGTGCTCTCACCGGGGAATAGTGTATTTGCTTTATCCCCAGTTGGAAGGAAAAAACCCACCACGCTCCCAGTGCCTGAACCAAGAAAGTGTGCCAGGACGAGCAGAGTGCAGCCCTGCGCGGTTCAGGTCAGTTTTGGACCTCCTTGTTGGAGAGGGGATCCTGCGTGGTGAAGAGCTGTGCAGAGCCCGCGGAAGGATCTGCCAAGGGTTTGGGAGGTCTGTGCATGGGGTCAGCCTGTTCTGCACCAGCTGGACTGCTCGAGGTCCAGGGCCAGGGTCCTTTGGCAATGGTGGCCTGTAACACGACACACCAAAGTGTCTGCCAGCTCTCAGGCTGGGGACACCTAGTTGTTGAGTTTTTTTCTTAAAAAAAAGATAAAATAAGGGTGTCCCCCATTCCACCGCAGTCGCTGCATGTGTTGCTTTGTGTGTGGGGATGTCTGTCCCCGCGGTGTCTGTAAACCTCGGGGTGTAGCTCTGGCAGAGCTGCACAAGGGCCAATGTCCCCGTCCTGTCCTCCAGTCAGGCATAGCTCCTCGGGACTCCCTGTGCCTACAGATCTAATAAATATCTCTGCTTGTTCTTGACCAGACCGTCCCCACCTTCTCGCCGAGCCTGGGCAGGCAGTGCTGCCGGGGAGGCTGGTGGAGGTCCCTGCTCCGCTGAGGGGACGCGGCCAAGCGGTGTCCCCGGACAGAGGGGGAACGTGTCCCGCGGCACCGGTGACGGAAAAGCGACCCCTGTCCTCCTGGCTGGGCAGTCACCTGGCGGCATTCAGAGCACGCTCGGGGGTCTGTCCCGGGGTTTGTCATCTTTGTGAGCTGCCTGAGTGAGGAAGCAGCTGCCTCGCAGCTGATGTGAGGTGGGTTTTAAAATTTACGTAATGTCAGTAAATACTAACTTGTCTTTCCAACTGCAGTCCCCTCCAAAATGCTGGCTGCCTTTCCCAGTGCAGCAGCAGAGGGTTTCACTGACCCAAAGCCCTGAACTCCTCAAATCAACAACGTTCAGATCCTGGCATCAGTTTGAGCAGCTCCATGTGTGTGTTACTGTTCTAGAATCTGTTCCTTTCAAAAAACAAAAAGCTGATGCTGCGTTCAGCTTCAACACCTGTATTTTTCTTTTTTCTGTAGGCATCTTGGAGAGCTCGAAATGTTAAATTTTTTTTTTTTTTTGTAGCTTTCACAGCACATGAAGGAGCCAGCACCCTCAGACGTGTTTAACTGTGGTAAGGCAGTACGTTAGGAAAGGCAGGAGGAGGTCACGGTGCTGCAGTGCTTTTAGGTCTGTTCCTAAGTTAATGCTGCACTTCACAGTGCTGCTTTCTGCGATTTAAAGTTACTGGAGTGCCTTAGTGGAGTATGGCTGCAATTTCCATCTCTTGTTAGTGTAGAAGTGAAGAAGCAAGATCTCTAACCCCAGGGAGTCGTTTTTACCTGGTTTCTGTGTTTTTCTAACCACAGCGAGATGTTAAACACGCTGTGCTGACCCAGCGGGAGCTGAGGGCCCTCCTGTTGTTGGAAATGGGGTGGCTGGAGGATTGCTCTCTCTGTGGAGAGCTGTGCCAGAAGGAAATTGAACTGAGCTAGGCCGGGGACTTCTTTGTTAAAGATGTTAAAACCTGCGGTCAGATTATTCTTTCGATCTTAAAAAATCATGACACACTTGGCTGAAGCTTGATGGCGGTTGCTACCTCGGTTTAAGGACTCTGTACTCTTCCCATATAGGTCTCTGCAGCAGTCTTCTCTATTCCTCACCACCCAAAAACCCCCTGCCCCAAATATCAATATTTCAGATTCACACCGTCAATCTCTTTCATTCTTGGAATGTTCTGGAAAACCTGGAGACTCAGAATTGCTATACCTACCAGAGGGAGGGGAGGGGGGACGGGACGGTGAACTGTTGGATGCTAGCCAGGGATTTTGTTCTGAAAAGCTGCAGAAATAGGTACCATATTACATTGCCTGCCTTTAGTAGGGAACATATCTTTAATATCAGTGCTAAAAAGGAGGAAACAGAAAGGTCTAAGGAGCAATTCGTAAGAGTAGCAGAACTGCTAGCAAAGAAAAACCCTAACTCAGTGTACAGAGGAGGGAAAAATAATGCCTTTTATCTGTGTATTAATTGTTGTTTGATTATTTACTGTATGTGGATCTTGCGGTCTTTAATGCATGGAGCTAAAAATAGCCTCATACTTGCGATGCCCTTGGGCCGTTCAGGAGGCTGGGGCAGCTCAGGGGTGTTCTGTGGCGGGAGCTGGGGCGCCGGGCGCAGGCTCAGAGGCGTGCCTGAGCTGTGCAGCAGCCCAGCGTTGGGAACCATGGCTGCAGTTCAACTTACCTTGAAAACAAGCTGAAAACTGGCTAATCTACTATGTCAGTTCTCTTGTAATGAGGTTCTGTGTGAATTTCAAATACATGACTACCCATCTTCATTAGGAGAAAAAACATGGATAACAGTAAAGAAAAAAAAAAGGTACTGTTTCTAATTGCTCACTGAAATGAGATAATCTTAAATTGCATTTTCTCTGCAAGCACCTTTTTAAAAAATGGCCTGAGAAACTTCACAGAATTCAATATTGTTAGTGTCTTCTGCTCTGTTTTATGAGGATCTTGAATTAAAACGGAGGTCTTTAGGGAAAGGGCTGTAGCCCTCTCCTGTACTCTTGCCCCTTCTTCCTTTGGCTGTGCCCAGCAGTTCCCAGCAGGTGGTTCAGTTTTCCTTTTGCTGTTCCTGGTGAATCTCCTCTCATCCTACTCCCCTGGGAGGCAGCTCCAAAACAGGCCACCAGGACATAACTTCCCCAAGAAAATACCTTGAGCAGGCCCTGACGCCCAGCACAGCCCGATGCCCAGCACAGCCCGACCTGATCCAAAGCCCGGGGTCGGTGTTAGGAAGCGATGGAAGGCTGACACGGGCGGTTTTGTCCACCCCCGTGTCAGTGTCAGGAGCGCCTCGAGCTACTGTCATCCTCTGAGACCGGCCCCTCTGCTTGTGCTTTTCACTGGTGATAATGGACAGACGGGCGAGTCCTTCCTGCGTTAGGCCAGGCACGCAGCAGAGCACAAGCTAAAAGCTGGCCTGGGCTGAGCTCACGCTTCACGCTGTAGAAGGCAACGACAAGGAGCCAGGACCAAGCGCCTGAGTCGCAGCTTTGTCCTGCTCGGGCTCTGCCTCCGTCTCGCCTGCGGCAATGGCTGCCTCCGCGCTGGTGGTATCACTGGGAGGAGGAGGAGGAGGAGGAGGAGGAGGAGGCGCGTCACTGGTGCGTCACACTGACAGTCATCCCAGGAAGGCAGGATGAGCACGAGGTAAGGAGCGGGGCGGGCAGTCCCATCAGAGTGTGAACTTTTTAATTACACTGATGCTCACTCTTTGGACACTTCGTGTGTCTGAATGATACTAAAATGTTCCAAGACATTGTGTTATTGCCCTTCTCATCAAAAGGCACCCACTCAAATTAATTTTAGTTTCTCAGTAGATTTATGGGCTACTTTTTAATGATTTCAGAGCCATAGGAAGCAGCATCTGGGGAGGTTGTGTGTGACTGAAGAATTGTAAAATGATTCTTGGAACAGTTTGAGAATTTCTTGACTCCTTTTCTAATTGCCATGGTCAACGATATAATGTTTTTGCAGGATTGTATCATTCTGATGGCAGTTTTTGGAAGGTTTCGTGGCGTTTCTGGATGAGCAGAGTGGGAGACACCGTGGAGGAGCAAGGTGAGTGGTGACTGCTGACCTGCTGGCAATTCTAGGATGTCTGTGGATCTCCTTTTGTTTTGCTTGCACAAGATGTCAGTAGGTCTTAGTCTTGTCCTGATGTGGAGCAAAACAAATTACAAAACAGAATTCTTGTTTTCCAGCCAACCCTAGAAGTACTTCCAGTTGGCAAATGTTTTTGTGGTGTTACCCATTTCCAAAGACTCTTAAATCCCCAGGATACACTATTTCTGTCCTCTATGAACCATGCCATGCAAACATGGAACTTGGGAGCATATTTGCCTCACAATAGCCTCAAAGGGGTTTTTTCCTCCATCCCTTGTTTTGTTGTTCTTTTGTCACTGGTGTTGGTGTGTCAAAGGCCTGGTGGGGATTAGAGGCCAAGGGTGAAAGCTCTGTGGCCATGGATAACTGGGGACCCAAACCTGCAAGCCACCGAGTGCTCTAGAAACACAGCAGCAGGGAGTGACTGGCTGTCCCCCAGGCCCTCTGCCCTCACGTGTGCCTTGCAGTGGTCCCCGAGGGGCTGTTTCAACACGTGGCCCGTGGGTGCTTTCAGCAGGGGCTGGTCGTGGCACTGCGAGCGAACCCCGAACCCCAACCGGTGCCCTTGGGAGGCAGCAGGAAGAGGGAGGGCGCTCGCTACTCCTACACTAATGAAAACAAACATAGAGAATGCTGCTTTCAAATTACAGAAGCTCCATTTAAACTCAGGTAGTTGTATTTTCTACTCTTACTGCATCTCAGTTCACCAAATTCATGGCTGTAGAGTTAAGCACCATGGGCAGTCTTTGAAGAAAACAAAAAAAGGCCCATGTTCACAGCACAAGCTTTGAAAAGGCACTGAAACTTTTATGCAGTTGCTTTAGCAAGAGGCTTTATTACCTATTGTAGTAACCTCAGGCACTTCCTAAACAGCAGCTGAGTTGAGGGCCGGAGGCAAACAAATAGATCAAAATTGAGAGAAGAGTTGAAAGAATACCAATGGGTTCCGTGGGTTTTTTTGTTTTAAACTCAGTTTCAAAATAATTTAAAAATGTAAGCACCTTGTGATAATGTATTAATAATAGTTACACTGATAATGCCATTTATTTACATGAAATCTATTGAAGAAGGAGGTGAGAACCTGACAGACAGTTTGAAATGCTTTGCTCCAGATTTCACCGGCATCATATAATACAGAACACAATAGCATACGCAGTGCCCAGACAATTAGTTTTTAATGGCCTAGGTGGAAACAAAAGGTCTCGAGTGTGTTTTGAGGACACCCAGCATTGTCAGTATTAAATCGGGCAAAGGGGGCCTTCTTTAAAATAGGTGACACTGACAGCGTAGCCACCTGAGGTGTGACAAAGCGGGACAGAGCATTTGACCTGGTAGGTGCCAGGGAGCAATAGGACTGGTGTTCTGACATGCCACTTCTCTTTCATAAACACAAACATAAACGAGGGGGGAAATGGAAACACTTGTCAGAGGTTTAAATGCACTGCCAATATCTGCATTCGAAACGATAGGGATTGATTTGTGTCAACAAGCCTTAAAACTTATAATAGCTGTGAATTGAGGTCCCACGTAAAATACTCCAGCTTTGGCATGCACGTACCTGCAACACTGCTTTGCGTAAACAGGTTTTAAATCACTGGAATTGTTCAGTCTATCAGCCCTCTACCCTACTAGCATTCTTATATATATGGGGGATATCTCTGTAGATACATAGGATTCTCATATATATATATATATATATATATATATATATATATATATGTATATATATATATATATATATATATATATATGGCTTGTGTCTGCAAACTGGTAATTAGTTGGTGTTTAAACTTGTCTTTTGTGGGTGAAACGTTTGTTCAAAGCAGGAGGACAAACGTAATCCAGAGCAGCGGGGCAGGGTCCTGCCGGGTGCCAGCTCTGGAGAGGACTTTCCACCCCGCTGCTCTCCTCGTACCTGCCAGGGGATTAGGCCTCCTGTCCCAGACCAGAGATCTCACTTGGCCCAGAAGTACCAGTTATTTCCCAGTTACTGGGTGTCTGGCATCTCTTCCTGAGCTCAGCAAACCTCTTCTAAGGTGGCGCCGTCTCTGCTGGAGTCCCTGAACGGCGACTGGACGCCCCCAGCCTTGGGCCGTGTGGTGGCCACTGTTCACTGACGGGCTGGAAGTCCCCTGGGATGAGCTGTGCTAATTAACAGCCGTGTCAATTTTGTCATGATGCTTCTTCAGTCACAATGTGCATGGTATGAATAAAGCCAGAGTTTTCAAACTACGTATATATAAATTGTGTAATATAACTGGTATAAGGTCATCTCTTGGGGGGGGGGGGCCTGCTTGTCCAAACTGGTGGACGTTACATTCTGATGGATAAATTCTCTCCAGTTTGGGTGGAGCTTTTGCTATCTGCTTTAGTGGAACTAGATTTGAAGTAGATATTTCTTGCCTTAATTCATCAGCAGTATTCTATCATAACTCCAACCCAAAAAAGAAAGACTTGTTGGTTTGTCCCCTCCAAAATTCTATCTGTTGCTTTTTATTAAGTTTTTTAATGTAATTTGTCAGCAGCGTATTAAAAATGACTTGTCACCTCTTGTGCAGGGTTCTGTGGCGCTGACATTACAGATGTTACCTTGGAACAAAGTTGGTATCGTGATGGAAGAGGAAATACAATTTCTAGCAAACACTTTTCTTTGGCACAATTTTCACCTTTTTTCATCTTTGACTGTAGTTGGCAACAGCCCCCACCATGTGAGCTTCTCTGAGCAATGGGGCACTTGGAAAGAAAACAGAGCACTTGCCTCACGTTCAGCAGGCTCTGAGCCAAGGAGGAAGAGGCTTCTCAAAAGTTACACCCCCCCTGCTCTTCCACACCCCCCCGCCTGCAGAGCAGCGCGTGATGGCAGCATCATGGGATGTGTTTCTGTCCTTCAAGGTGCGTTGGTGGGGCATGTCAGAGCTCCTTGTGTTTGGAGTTTCAGTTTTACTGTGAGCAGGATTTCTTATGTGAGCACTTCCTTTTCAAAATTATTTTTGTTTTAGTTATTGTCCACTTATGTCTGCTGCTCCCGATGCAACTCTGCCCATCCAGGTCTCGTCAAGATGTGAAGATAAAAATGTTCTGAAATGGAGTATATTCAGGTGAGCGATAATTTTCTGTGAATCTCCTCAGCAGAAAAATGTTATATTGAGCTGGGGCTAGAAGATTGCTGGGGAAAAGGAAAAAAATTGAGATGAGAACTGTCGTAGAAAATAGGAAGCCTGGAGGGGGGTAAGGTTTCAATTTGTCATCTTCAATTTCACACAAGGTTGTGCTGCTCAAGAATTGTCCTGTGTTCACTCCTCTATGAAATACCCGGGAGGGTAGGATTACCCTGGTTAGGGACAGGACTTCTGAGGTCAGAACAACCGCACTTGCATGCGTTTACAGTTGTTCCGTCAGCTCTGCTGCTGTCTCACTGCATCATCATCATCACTGGCTGCTCCTGGGGTGACAGACCCCACGCTAGAGTGATTTCCTTTGCTGGCTGCAAACAGTCCCGTGTGATCTCTGTGTAGGCTGCTGTCTCTGTACAGCAAGAGTGCAAGGGTACGAGTTTAGAGATGCCTTGCAGCCTAAATACAAAGGGAATGTTGCAAAAAAGGATAAAGGTAGGCTGGATTTAAAAACTGGCACTAGACAACGATAGTGCATCACTCACACCACCCTGTCCGCCAAATCCCTCGGCAGACCTGGGAAGCCCTCCTTCCACTCCTGAGCGAGGCACTCTGCGAGGACGAAGGGTCTAGCTTTTAGACTGACTTCTTAGGTTTATCATAATGGGACAGAGTTAGTCGTGTAGTTCCTCATCAGTAGCAAACCACACAGCCATCCTGTTGTACTGATAGAGCTGGAAAACAATCCAGTAATCATTGTGCATCACCTCAGCCTGATGGTTTTGGTTAGACTTGGTCCAAACAAACAAAAAATGAAGTTATTGATAGAGGTTGCCATCAGGTTTAGAATTCTGAAAAGTGATGTAGGACTTAGCAGCTGAATAACATACCAAAGCTCTGGAGTAGTAAGCCACTTCATGCTCTTATCTGTGTGGCTGAGTGCCACAACCCAAACCACTGACCGGTTGCAAATATTTTTTATATATATATATATATATATATAATATATATATATATTTTATCCTTTATGAATTTCTAGGATGCTCATTATATATATGTTTGCTTGAAAACATATTCTAGTGCAGCCCTCGTTTTTTGGAAGGAGTAGAGATTTAATTAGAGTTTTCTATCTAATAATATATTAATTGTAGGTGCCATTTCTTGGGCTAGATTTGTTTGACTACAAGATGCCTCTTGGTATCAGCGAGTAAACTCATTCATAAATGTTATTAGGGTTGGTGGGGAAGGGTGGAATAGGAAGGAAGGGATTAAGGTTGCTACAATACAAAATTAAAATGGCAGATT